AGAAGATCTGGGCCTTCCTTATTTCGAAAATGACAGTTCCTTCTTTGGTGCCTGCCATTTCTCTCAGGAAGGTGACATCCGAATTAAACAGAAAGACCCTTTCTATGGGATAGGCTGTGAATGAGAGAAGTGAGGTCAAAAAACAAAACCATAAACTATTCTCAGGGAAACAAATCAATCCTCTGCTAGGCACAAACAGTCCACTGAATGTACAGGAGCTTCACTAAGGGATAAAGCTGGAAATACAGCAGACCTGGAAAAGGCATTCACAGGAAGAAAAGGACTAATATAAACTGAAATTAATCTGTGCTCTGGAGCATCCTTTCTTTAAGCCCCAACCAACTCTTGCTTTCATCAAAGGCCATCCATTCTACATCATTGTTCATTTCCTTCTTAATGGCTCATCCTGAACTCATCTTTCCTTCAGTTCCCGTCACCCCTTGCTGCCGGCTTTCTGTCTCACCAGGGACACGCCTAGCTGATGTGTTGGAGACATGACTGGCAGTAAATGCTAATGGGAGAGAAAATTTCTGTCTAAACTGTTTGCCTCCTTTTTTCTTGCCAGTTCTACCCAAGAAAGCAATGAGGAATCTGCTGTTTTTTCTGAGAGTTTCAGTTGAGGACTCTCACAAAACTTGTTATATTTAAATGAGAGGGAGGGAAAAGAAACAAAGAAGGTTATGAAGGTACGGTTTCTTCGTAATAGAGAGGTTTGGCCAAAGTTCAGATCCCTGGAAGAGGAAATAGGATAGATAGAGCGAGGTTCACGTGATGTTGAAGATGTACATGCAGGAAGATAGGTAAAAAAAAAAATGGTGCTTACAGGCAATATAGATTAAGGGAACTTAAGAGCATCTGTAATTACTAGAATCTGATATAGTGCTCCTGAGGGTCTTTAGCAGGATTAACTTCTTTTATTACCCAGAGATGTTAGGTTTTCCCCTGTGTGCGTTCTTTTTGGTCTTTGGGAGACTCAGGATTTCCTGAGTCATCTTGTGACCAATGTGAGATTCATGTCAAAGCCCCATGGCAAGTCCCTGAAGGAAGAAACAGGAATGAGTCAGACATGACGAACAGCTCTTTACATCTCTGAAGCAGCCTCTGTATTCCAGAGAGTAAGGCAGCCCCAATGTGTTCTCAAGGTCTTATCACAGAAGTGAACTCACAGGCAACACCGCAGCTTGCACAATGCCTACTAAATACAGAGACGTGCAACAGAATTTAGGGGAGTGGTGGCTGTGCAGCTGCATGTTGCTTCTTGAAGCCTGCAACAAAAAGGCAGACTGAAGGAGCTGGGGAAAGTCCTAGACCAGACTTAAAAAATATATAGCCTGCAGGAAACACTTGGCTGATTAAGCAATTTTTTTGGCCTGCCAGATGGTCAGGAGACACCATGATGTTTGGATCACTGGGTGCCTGAGAGAGGTTCTCATACCTCCCACCAGCTTGCCAGGAAGTGCAGGTGCAGCGTCCCCCCAGCCAGCACATATGTACCGCTCAGCTGCGCAGCTGCCAAAAAAAAAAAATGGGGTGTCACAGTCAATGGAGAGGCAGAGGAGAGGGAAGGCAGATGAGAAGGCAAGGAGGATAGAAGACCAGAGGTAGTGACAGAGGCAGTTCTGGTAAGGTATGACGAAAGGTGCAGTTTGAACTTGCTAAGCCTACCCACCTACCTGCTGCAGTGAGGCGTTCTAGGCCAAAATTCTATCGTGTGAGGGAAATAGGGCTGAGTCACCAAAGTCATCCCTCTGCTGTTCCATGCGTTGCATCATGTAACGCCTGACAAAGTCTGATTTGTTTAGTTTTGTTTCTGCTGTTCCAATAGAAAGGGTCTTCCAGGCCCTCCCTTTCTAATAAGTAGAGTCCTAATTTTCTGCTGTTTATTTATAGCTAATTTGCCCTTATACTTAAATCTTCCCTTATCTCTCAAAGATCTTCACCCTGCCTGTTGATGCATCAACAGACAACAGTCATATCCACTCTGTCTTGACTTTGCAGGCCATACAGTCTGAGCCAACAGACAGTTCAGTCCTTCTAGGAAAGCTGAGTTGCACGCACTGTGTAATAGGAGTCTTTCAAATGATACTTGAAAAAACCAGATCTTTCAACTCTATGGACTTTCTGGTATCTTTCATTCAGAGTATTTAACCAGTGTCAATCCTTCCTGGCTTCTTTTGTAGCAAAATGTGTTCTTTGCAGCTCTCCCTGCTGGAAGGATAGGAGATTTCAAGCCCACAAATCAGTAAGACTTCCATATGCTTGGAGCTAGGCATGTGCATAACTTTTTCTGGATCAAGATTAGAGTTCTCACTACTTGACAAGATTCAGCTTGTGGTTTGTGAAGTGCTGCCAGTTTCTTTGGAATTAAAGATTTATATGAAATATCAATGTAAAAAAAAAAAAAGGCAATTCCCTATTCCAGGTTCGTGTGTGTGCATGTGTGTACTGCGTTAATTAAAAGCTGGTAGGTAAACAAGAGTGATGCTCTGCAACAATATTACTTGTATCACAGCGATCTCTCTGTGCCATGTGAGAGGTGATCCTTGTTCCCAAAGAGCCGTCAACTGTGTATAGACAAAACCAAGATGGAAAGGGACAAATAAAGGCACAGAGATGATTTTTCCAGTGTCGGGAAGTGATAGAAATAGAGGCAGCATCTTTTGATCCCTGAATGTAGCGAGTACTCACTTTACTCTGCTTTCATGCTTTGTGGTGCTTTTTCTGGGGGTAAAATGTTGTACAAACAATTACAGAGGAACTGAAACGCAACGCTAACAATTTTTCTTGGCCTCTGTATTGCTTCTTTTCAGCCTGCAAAGACCGACACCAGGCTGTATTTGTATTGATCCGTCAGAAATGTCAGGAGAGGAATTCCTGGTTTGTGCTGGCTGACCTCTAGGAGTACTGGAGAACTGACAGGACCCTGAGATGGCAAGTGCAAACCCAAGCTGCCGTTTTTCTCAGCAACATAAAAGTGCGGTGGGGAAGGAAGACCGCGTGCCCTTCCGCAGGGCTGAGCAGTAGAAGAGAAGGAGAAACACGGGTAGGCAGTCGCTGCGGTTCGGGGGCGGGGGGGCGGAGGCTCCGAGCCGGGGGAGCAGGCGGCAGTGCCCGGGCAGGGTTGGGGCAGACGGGCAGCGCCCGCAGGGTGCCGCGGGGCAGCCTGGCGGCATGCGGGCAGCGG